CAGTGTGTTAACATTTGCGAGGAGCTCGCTTCCGATCGCCGCTATCTGTGACATCCGTTAAGCCGATTTATCCGACAGAAGCTAAGCGAATCAAGTACAAGTAAGTACTGCTTCCATACGACAGGCTAACCGGTGTAAAGTTCATTAAATACCCGTTTTACTATAGACGGGAGAAGAATGAAACCGATTCTGGACAAAAGGATCTTGACCAATGCATCACAACCGGTTAATTAGGATCACACATATAACAACTAATTGCGTTTGGCAACTCACACCGAGGTCACACTGTAAGGCCAACCAATGGAGGTATCCTGTGCTAATCTAACAGCAGTTGCAGGTAAATTGACGCGATAGATTATTTATACATCGACTGGTTCAGATATTCGATAGTCCCCTATGACTGTGCATGCTACTTTTTTCAAGACAGAAAAAGTGTGACACGAGGTGAATTGACGAACAAACACCAACAATATTGGTTCAAAAAGGACAGTTCAATACATTAACTTTTGACACAATTTGATAATAGTCTATCAGCTGCTTCCCGTAACTTGATAACAAGAGCGGTGGAGATAAGGGCACGCAGCAAACTGAAACTCGGTGTGAAAATGGCAAGTTCGTAGTTCATAAAGGCAGTCTAGGTAACCTTCAAATGCAAAAAGAAAACGGTCAAGCGAAGGGGAGTGTACCACAAAAGGGCTAGGGAGTATCGCGCAACTCAATTCATTCCGTGATCTAGATTGTTGCAAGTCGGGTTTTTGTAGGCTTCTTTTCGAAGAATACAACGTCCGCACTATTCCTATATGAGAAGGAACTCGGAAGGCTAGTTTTGGGGCAGCGGAATGTCTATTATTTCCTAACAAATTGAAATCGCTAGTTATATATTACCCGAGAGACTTGGAGCAACAGGAGGCAACTGAAAGGCAGATAAGACAGTTGCTTGTGCGAAAACTGCGGTATATGATGTTTTGTACTGAAACTAGCAGCCATATGTTTTTCCCCAACTGTTTATGTATCTTTGCTTATTCTCCAAAAAATAGAATTTGTGGCAAAACTATGTGGTCAATAGCAAAGCTTCAGAGAGAATTGCCTTCGGCTGCAGTTATGATAACCTATGATGCAGTGAGCATAACCTTTAAATGCAGACACTATATAGTGAATACGGGGAAACTGTTATAATCGACCCTTTGATCGACCGCCATAATGGCACGGGTAATGGTAAAAAAACGTAGAGTACAGACGGCCTTTACAATGCACTAACTTCGCAATCAATAGGGGACGATGAAAATGTACTCTTAGGGCGACCGATAGAATAGAGGCAATGTGATGGAATATAAAGGGAAACGAGAACCCGGCTTCGTGAAGGAAAAAAAAGCTGTTTACCTAGACTAATTATAAACCACTTAAAGGGTACCTTCAGCAAAAAAACAACACTAGAGTAAAGTGTGCGCGTATCATCAAACTAATAAGGAG